TTCAAAACTTTGAATGTCGACTTGTTAGATTTAATTAAGGGAAAATCTCGTTCAAGTCGGGTTCTATATTGTAGAAAATTTATAACAACAATGTATATATATATATATATTCAATTAATAATTGAATTTCTTTTGATAATCATTTTACGATAAGCTATGAATACTAATTTTGTTGTGAAGAATTTCAATGATTTTTTTTTTTGTTGTTGATTAGTTTAGATCTAATCAATCTCGTAAGATAAGTTAATAACATACGAGAGAAGGAAAAAAAACAAAATACTATAATATATATATATATGCACTCTAATGTTACAAGTCATATTTCATATTATTCTTGTGAATATTAATTGAAAAACAACGTAATTCGTGTTTTTATATATCTACGAATTTCGTAGTTTGAACTGTTGTTACTGCGCACTTCTTCACAGGAAGTACGTCTTAAGCATTGGCATCACACACACAACATCGTTTATTCTTGATTAATATTCCGCAGGTGATGATAAGATGGTTAATTTAATCGATTGTGACAGTCCGTGACTCGACTACAAACATTCTTGTTTTTTTTGTTTCTTAGTTTAATCTTAAAACAAAAAAAAAAGGCTTCAAAGTATTTATTGTCTTCATTCATATTATTATCGATCTTTTGATATGAGAAAAAACAAAGAAAACTTCCGCTTTCTGTGTAATATATATATATTAAGTAGAATTTTACATTTTTAAATATAGACAAATTATGTTTCTATTATTATCTTACATTGCATTTTATTCATTTTTTCATTAAAAAAAAAAGATATCTAATGATGTCATCAAACAAAACATCATTGTATAATCTATTAATATGAGAAAAATATACATTTAAAAAAAAAACGACAATCAAATCCTACTCTCTTTTTTTCGATCGATGACAAGTTTATTAAAATCTGTTATTCATAATCAATTATCTCTTTCATAGTTTAAAATACTATTCTTTTTTGTTGTAAAATAAAGATTTTTAAATGTTAAGAAATTCACTGGATATATATATATATATACTTTCTGTTGTTTAATTATTAATAATGAAAAGAGAATACTTCATTTGTAGTGCAAAGAGTACTTCCGTTTGTATTCTCTCGTGAAAGACATTCATTTATAATAAATTATAGGAATATCATATTATGCTTTTAACTCGAATCAACTAGAAAGCATAGAAAATTCTGCATTAATCTAGTATGTTCATCTAAGAAATTAATTATTTTTAACATTAGTTAATTATAAAAAAAAAAAAATCTTAAATGTGAGTAATTTTCTTGTTCATATATTCTAAATTATTAACACTTAAAAATCCGAGGAACTTCTCGTTGATAGATTCTAATTTAATATAGCGATATCTGTATGTTGACTTCAAGCGTCCTCTATAGATAAATTATAAAAAAAAACAAATTCTATTTTGAGATTTATTTGAATATTAATTTTAAAAACTAAATTCTATATGAATTATTTTAAAAAAATTCAAAGAAATATTTTTATCTTAGCGCCACCATCATTGGGAATTTTCCTGTAGCATATAACTACAATGAATATTTATCCATTCATGACATTTAGTTTCAAAAAAGGATAAATCAGGAAAACGGAATTGACAATTCAAGAAAATAATGCCCTCATCGGGCACTATTCTTGAGTCTACAAGTGTATCAATGAGACCTATAGACATGAATCAAACAGTAAGACACGGATCAATTGGAGCTGCAGCAAATTATTCAACAATACCAGATGATCGTGAAATTTTCAAAGTATAGTATTCTATAGAAAAATAAAATATTTTTATTTCTTTATAATATATATATATTTATTATAGGCATTACACGATTGTATGAAGGATGTAGGAAAATTTCGACAATATACTTATTATCTTGGTACATCATGTGATACAACAAAATTACGAAATAAAGTTCAAAAATTAAAAGAACGTATTAATCGTAGTTTTAATCATCAACGAGAACTAATAGGAAATGGAGCATCATCAGCAGGATCGTTAGTTGAAATATTTAATTAATAAAAAATTTAATATATTATATTTTTTTTTTTTTGTAAATTTAGAATGAAAAGTGAATTAGCTATACGTCGTTTTGAAAAATGTTTATGTTTTACATTAGCTGCACTTAATTATTATGAAGATTTACTTCATAAATTTTCTATTCTACTTGTCTATTTTCCCATAGCTACTGGAGGTAATTACAAAAAAAAAATTTTTTTTTAAATTTTATTTAATTATTCAATTAATAAAACTAATTTTAGATCGTACAAATGTTGTTAATTTGGGTTTTGAAGATTCAACTATAAATGCTGATGAAGCTTCATATGAAAATCATGAAAATGAAGAAAATGAAACAAATCGTTATATTGAACTATTGAAGTAAATCAAATATTTATTTATTAAAAAAAGAAAGAAACGAAATTTAATATTTTCATCATTAGTGAAATTCAACGTGTTCAAATACTTCGTGAAGAAATCGAACAAATTGATATTTATCAATTACGACATCATGCAACATCATATTCAAAAGATTTTGGTTAATATTTGAAAATTTTCTAATAAGAAAAAATAATTTGTCTCTTTTTTTTTTTATTTATTTAGTTGAAAATATGCATAAATATACAACAGAATTAATCACTGAAAATCCTATTGGAAGACCTAAAAAACGACATCGTTTAACACGTTGTGATTATTTACATGAAGATTCTTCATCATCCGTATGTTAATAGTAAATGTATTATTGTTGTATGTAAAAATCATCTTATATTTTCTATGTTGTTTTTTGTAAGATGGATTATTTATTGATTGAAATAGTTTTCTTTGTAAATTCTTTTCTTTGTTTTTTTGTTTTTTAAATATAGTTTGCAATATGTCATCGACGGCTTAATCGACGAGAATTTCTCTGTACTTTAACAGTTATATTATCAATATTAATTATTGTCGGTATTATTATCATTATTATTATAGCAACAAAAAGTGTACCTACTGGTCAATAAATGTTTTAATGGTCAGATTATTTCTTCTTTTTTTTTTGACATTTGTTTAAACAAAGATATTAGAATTGATGAACTTTATGTATATCTTGTCAAATGTATTACTTTTATTCAAATTTCTTTTTGTGTTTGCTTGATTTGTATGCATATATATTGCTATTTGATGTTATATGTTTCAGATTTATATCATCGACAATATATATATATATTATACTTGACGTATTCAATCGGCAATATAATAATGTTTAATTTGGTTAAAGTAACTTCCGAGATTTTTGTCTATGTGATTGTCAATATTCGAAACTCGATATAATTCGATTTGGATTAAGCTTTATTAAATTAAATGTGCCTTCGATTCATCTTCAATTACGAAAAACTTACACAGTTTTGATTCATCATACAAAACTTATGAATCGAGATGTTTGCATCCAAGTCATATCTCTCCTATGATATAAATTCTAATGATATCGTGATCTGTTTATTATATTTCTACACTCTGTTTAACTGATTGGAAGTAATTTGAAGGAAGTCATAATTCAAAAAAAATACTTACATCATCATTTTCCTTCTATTTAATATTGAAATAAAGACTGGATTCGAGAATGAAATTTCAATGAGATAAATACTGAATATTAATTTCATATTAACTATGTATATAATACCTGAAAATCTTATCATTCTCCTTGAAGAATAGAAAGTTATTAAAAGAAATCTTTCTATTAATCTTCAGATATTAGTATGTAAATATCATTTCTATACCTTAATTTTATTAGTTTAAGTATTAAGATAAAGTGTCCATAAGAGATTTTATATTAACTTTTCTTACATACGTCGATATCTATTTAGAAAAAAACCTCAAAAGAGTTTGCATCATTAGACTTTTCTTATCAAGTGAATTTTCAACATATTACAAAGACAGCTACTATAAGAAGGTTTCTTCTCAATAAACCGACCTTATGGTATTTATTATATTCTGAAAGTTTTAGGTCAATCGGATAGTCAGTATACTCATCGCCAAAATTCAACGAATTGTATTTCGACGATTTTTATTTCAATGACGAGACATATCGGCGATATTCTTCGATGACATTTGTAATATTAGAAACCATTTGTTATTATGGCTATTAATACTTACTATACTTAGTAATTACAATGATGTATTATGTAAAGAACTAATTTCAGTGAATAATTCAATAAGTTCCTAAGTTAAGTCAGAGACCAAGTCACGTTAGTCACTAACTTGAGTTGATATCTAACCTAAGCTAGTGACTAACTTGAGTTGATATCTAAGCCAAGCTAGTAACTAACTTGAGGGGGTGTCTGAGTCAAGTTAGTGACTAAGAAAAATAGGGTCGTAGTTTATCATGCGCATATCATATTTGATTAGAGAATGTATATATATATGCGTGTATCTAAATGATGTATGTTCTGAAAGAGTAAACTGAATCTTCATTTTCGGTAATGCTCGCCTCGACGATAAGTTATACAACCAATCCGATAAATTTTTCTTAAGATACGGAATAACTGAAAAAAAAATGAACTATTGTAAGAAATTTTTTTACAAAGGTTTTTGTCTTCGACGGGAAGCATTCGTTTGAGCTAAAACTTTTAAGATTTAATAAGTATCATAAGATATATTTATTGGAGAAAACTTCTTGTTATGACTTTTTTTGTAATATGCTGAAAGGCCTAATGATACAAAGTCTTTTCAGGCTTTTATCTACACTATGAGTCCTGTTGATAGACAAAATATGAGTTCAAACAGAGAGTATTAGCTCGAGAGGTTCCTTCATGGAATATAATTTATCTTATTGTTCAATATGTTTACAAGGCTACAAATAAATACGATATTTGAAACTGTAAATCCATGAAATCGATCAAAAATTGCTAATCTATATCCTTGTTTTTTTTTGTAGAACAAATTATATTTTATATTTAAATTATCCGGTAGAAAGGAATAAAATTGAGATATTCTATTTTAGATTATTTAAACAATGATTGAAGGATATCTTTATATATTTCCGCTTTTAGTGTTTATACTTATCCCATTTGCTTATGCGATTTCGTAAGATTTTTTTTTAAATATTTTCTATTTAATTTTTATTAATTTAGTTTCATTGTTGCTATTCATCTTGGTCATTCCAAATTTGAATATCCATTTCTTAGGTAAAATTTTATTGAAATTCAATATATTTTACAATTCTTATGTTCTAAGCTGACAAAAAAATTCAATGTCTAGAAAAAATCCGAAAATTATATTCTAATAATAAAAGTACCCTTTAATATAATAGTAACAAAACTTAATTCAAAATAACGAGACTCTATCATGTCTTACACCTTGACATGTTCTTTTCAAACAAACAAAAAAAAAACAATTAAATGAAGATCCACAGAAAATTCTAGATTGTGTAATCAAAAAAAAAACGCGAAAGCGATTTTCTGTTTTTTTTTCTGAAAAATCATGTCGTTTATGAAAGATCAAATTTCAGGTTATTCTTTTGAATGTTTTCTATATAGATATAGGCAAGATGGTTTCCGGTTCTGGTCTTACATCGAGTTCAACACTTTTTTTCATAGGAAGCGATACTTTTTATGATCGTGTAAAACTTGCATTGAATGTCCTATAATCACGATTCATGTGTCCTAAAGATATATAAGTAAACTAGTTCCGGTTCCGAGACTGAAAACGATTCATCTTGCTCTTGTCTATTTCTATAAAAATAATAATAATACTAGAAATAGAAGAACATCATATGTAATAGGCTATTAGTTCATGTAGTAGAAAAAGAAAGTTTTACAACGTGTATCTTCTTATCATATGTAATTTTATATCATAATTCACATAGAAACTATTCTTGATTATTTTTAACAATTAATTAATGTTGTTTTTTTTACTCGTTAAACTCTCTATAATTATGTAGACATGTTATTCAATACTTTAAGAAGAATGTACTGAATTTAAATACTCTTTTCTAAACTTTTAATATACAATCCTAGAGAAAATAAGTACTTAAAATTACATGATAAAGTATCTGCATGTTGAGTTCATTGTTCTAGACATACTCAGACTTTGTATTAATTATATTCTAATAGATTTTTTTTTTGTATTATATTTAGTCGATCATTAAGTGATTCACCAGAATCATGTATTTATTCACAAATTATTAATTTTACTTCATTTATTCGTATGTATTATTCTTCATATGAAAAACAAAAAAAATATAGAAATTAAAATCATAAAACATTCTTTTCTTTTTAGTTATCATTACGATTTATATTCGTTATCGTCAAATGTAAGTTAATAATTGTTATAATTAAATTTTTATTTCATTTTTTATCTAGAGCTGAACTAATTCGTAATCATCCAACATGTGGAAAAAAATATTCTCAATTAAATTTAATTTTTCTTATATGTGGAATGATTACAGCATTTAGTATGAGTATTATTTCAAATTTTCCAGTTAGTATTTTATAATATTTTATTAAAAAAAAAATTTATTTATTTTTTTATTGTTAGCATCCTAATGTATTTTTCGTTCGTATATCTGCAACATATATAACATTTATTGTTGGTGTTGGAACACTTTATTGTGAAATGATTTTATCATATTGGATTCGACCATTATTATATTCAAGTAGAATTTTACCATTTATTCGAATGATGCTTAGTATTATTTGTACTTTGATACTTATTACATGTAAGTAATTAAAAGATATTAAATAACAGAATTTTTAGTAGAGTAGAGAGAGAGAAAGAGAATTCTCATCATTACTGTCATGTTATATTAGAAAATGATGAACAATTAAGATCAATCTGCTCTTTCTTAGAAAAAAAAAATCAATTTTCATCAAAAAAAAATGAAAAATTAAATGCATGGGAGGGGATAGACCAATGTCTAATCTTTTATAATTGATATGATTTCTTTTTATTCGATGTATCGTTTCTTTATCAAAATTTTTTAATGATTTCTTCCAGCATCTATTTGAAGAATACGTTTTGTTTTTTTATCGTGCATTTAGGAATTCTCAAAGGAACTTCATTACAGGCAATTGCATTTTTGTTTTGTTTGAAAGAGCATGTCAAGATGAAAGGGATGACAGAATGTTGTTATTAAATTAAGCTTTGTTATTATTATTTAAAAGAGTAGTTTTATAATTACAGCATTATTTTTTTTTTTTTGAGAGTTTTCCGAGACATTGAACTTTTCAGCTCTTTTCTTCAATTACAAAAAAAGGACTTTATCATAGCTTTACATCCTGTTTCAAATAATAGAAAAAAATTAAGAATATCAAATAAAGGCTCAACGAGAATTTTGAGTTGCTAGTCTCAACATATTCTGAAAATTTCATATGATTTGAATGTATTCGATTCAAGATCAATTTTTGTACGGAAGTGGTTTTAAATAAAACATGCAGAAATTAATACATGGAAAAAAAAGATCACATTTGAGATCTTGCTTTTTTAATGTCGAAACGTGATGATATAGAATATGCATCTAGACAAATATATGATATAAGTAAGAGTGATGGTTCATAGTCATGCAGAATCATTTTATTATTTAATCCATATAGATAGTTTTAATAATTCGTGGAATATCATTTTAAGACAAAAATCATAGCTAAAATGATAGTTCGCTAGATATGCATCATTTCTAATCGGCATAGGATCCGATCGAACATGTACTATTGAGATTGATGCCCAAGGGTGCTAGTAATCAGTCGGACTGATAACTAGTCGTACTGAGACTGGCATATATATACAGTTCCCTCTCCACAATAGTATAGGAGCAACATTCATGTTATCGATTATTAATACAGACTCAATTTCAGATCGAAAATATGCAAGAGTACTCCGAACGAGAGCGTAACTCCTTCACCATAAATTTTGGTTCACATTAACAAAAATTTTTCAATTGATCTTGAGATACTTCTGAAAATGAATTATCTAAAAAAGAAATGCCCTACGATTTGAAAATTACACAAGTTAGACATCCGAACGAAATATTTTGAAAGACATTGATTACAAGAATGGACAAAAACTTGTCTCATACCGAACTGAACAAGCATATATTTTGTATGCATAAACTTTAACACATTATTTATAACTGAAATTGATAGAAGTCTAGGATGTTGGGAATAGTTGTTTAAGATTAAAATAGTTTCTTAATATACTGATGACAAATTTCAATGAAAGATCCAAAGACATAATACTTTCATTAATTCCTATTTCTATTAATTATGCAGATTTTTTAACAGACAAAAGAATATATGTCAATGTCTAAAATGAGATTTCTTTTAATCTTGAACGTATTACACTTAGAAAAACAAATCTCAATATGAAAAATTTAAATTAGAAATTTATTGCTTATTAATGAAAGATTAATATTTGAAATAAAATCTTATTTTGAATTTATTTCAATTTTTTATTTTTAGTTATTATTTTTCAAACAATTACTATTGTTAAATATGATAATAAAGAAAAACTTTGGACACTAACAAGTCCTGTACGTAACTTTATAATCGAATTCAAATAATAATAAAAATAACATATTTCTTTTTATTTACAGGGTTGGAAATATCATTTAAGTAGTGTTTTATCTACATGGATTCTAACAAGTTGTCTTCTAATTTATATTTTAACATTAATTATTGATTTTCGTCGTATTAAAATAATTTCACCAAAAATCTTTCTAACCAATGATATTATTGATGATCAAATGAATGATAGATTATCATTATCAACATAAAGATAACAGTAATTTCTCGTTAATTTAATTTTCTACTGGTCTTCTTCATCATTTTTAATATATGTTAACAATTTAGAAAGATTCAATCTTAGAAAACAAAAAAGCATAATTTTTTTTTTCTCCGTTACATTTAATTTATTCTCATTTCGAACGTCAAATAATCATGAAGAATGTATTTTTATTAAAATTGTTGTTTTTTTTTTTTGTGCAATATAAATATATAAAAGATTTTCATGTTATGAAATAAATTTTATATTATTCAATATTTTATACAAAAAGGTTTTTTTTTTTGTTTTATTTAAAAAGAAAATATATAAGTAAGTTTAATTTCTTTGTTGAATATTCTCAATAAGAAATTCATTTGTGAAAAAAATATTTCATAAATTTTCAAATTATTCATTATTATATTATTATAGAGAAAAAAAAATGTAGCTATTTTAGTCTAAGTAATATATTTATGTAGTAGTAATTAGTCAATCTATTATTATTGTCTATTCATAGATGTACTCAAGATTCTCAAAAATACTTGTTAAAATTGACTCATTATTGAATCATAAATGAAATATGATCTCAGTAGCTTACAAACTCATTTGTGTTTACACTTGAAAAAAAAAATGATCTGTTCTTATTCATTGAAAACTATGCATTGGATATTTTTAGTTAATTGGAAGAAAGAATTTTTTTGCATTGAAATTGTTGTATGAAACTTTAATATGTCTAAAAACAAAAACAATGAATTTTTCTTTTCACAGTTACTTTAATACAAACTCTATGTTAACTGATTCTTTCTTAAAAATTATGATTTTATAGCTCAAAATGCTTCTTTGAACAATAGAATACATAAAATAGTACTTAAATTTAATTATTAGATTTGCCTCTATCTTATCTTATATATGAATGAAAAGATCAACCTCTTGTATCATTATTTATAATCAACGACGAAACATCTTTTTTTATTTTGTATTGTTTATGTCTATATATAAAGATCGTATCAAACAATTAGTAATAAGTATTGTTATTTTGTTTACAATGAAAACCAGTTGAAGTCAAAATTCTCTAAGTATGAATCTTGAATTTGTTACAAAGAAAAAAAAAACATATTAATATTGACAGAAAAATTAACAAACGTAAAGAAGTCTTCAATGAAATAATGATAACATGATTATCTACATTTTTTTACTTCTTTCATTGAGTTAATTAGGAAAGAATAAATTCTAAGTCATAAGAAAATATTGGCTGAATAAAAGAAAAAAAACGAAGAAGAAACGGTTGTTTTAGTATTGCGTGTTGATAAATAAGAGCGATTTTCTTTTTTGTTCTTGGCATTTTTTTTTTGGTTCTCTAGAATAACGTAAGGAAATATTGCTAGTGCTAAAGCCGTAAGTATTAGCTACAGGGCTCTAATACAACAGTGATCTTTCTTCCTTTTGTTCCGCTAATAATTTCCGTCGAACGAACACATGCTGCTGACTTTCTATTTCTCAAGAGACAAAAAAAAAAGATAAAGAGTGATATAGCAAACACGCTTGCCAAAGTGGTCTGGGGGCGTAATAAGATCAGTGTTTTGCATGTCTATGTGTCATGTTTATTTAATGGACGCGGTCCAATTGACATTCAACGTATATATATATATGTATGCATCTGTTGTTAGAAATATTTTACAGAATCTAGCATATTATTGGTTGAGTTAATAATCAAGACTTTGTTTATTTGCCGAGAAATATATCTGTCGGCAATCGAATGACAAAAAAAAAAAGAAAACACTTTCACGTTTATTTGTCTTTATCAACAATGACATTAGAAATAGATTGAGTGTATTCGAATTGTTACATTTGGTTAGATCTGAAGATTATATTAAATTATATTTATGAATGATTTTCAAGACATGGAATGTCAGAATGAATTGAATTTTTTTTTATTTGATAGAGAAGAAAGTTATTGATTTTGTGTTGAGAATTTCTTTAGCTTATATTATTTTATGTCAAAATACAAAATCATGACTGATATTTATGTAAGCTTATTGTATTGATTGTTTAAAATATGTAAATTCAAGTTTGAAAGTAAAAAAAAAAAGTTATACTTTATTCATCGATCTTTGCACATGTAAATCAATCCGATATTTTCTTACTGAAAAATAAGCTTCGACATTTTACAGAGACCTTTACACATCACATGTTATATTCTTTTTTTGTCATACATGTTTAGTCTAATACAATTTTAAAATTTTGTGATAATTAGGTAATATTGCTCATGATTCTATTGTGTATTGACTCAATCAGAAATGCAAAATCTATATTGTAAATTCAGAATATGAGATGCATTTATTATTAACAATATTAAGACTTAACATAGAGAAATTTTGTAATTTTTCTAGAGATTACTATTCTAATTTACAAAAGAGTTATTTCACCTTTAAACTTGCTTTATTAATACATATTTTTGTATATAAAAATATAAATTTGATTTTTAAATAGCACCAATTATTGAATAAAACAACCGTATAAAATCAGTCATATAGTAAGGAATGAAAGACAATTCTTGTTTATGTATATATTCGGTTTCCTGCATATATATATATATATATATGTATATCTTCCAATGTATTCTGCAACAACTCTTTTCTTTTTTTTTCTTGGTTTTTGCTGTGTAAAGATGCAAAACAGATGTTGATGCTTTTTTTTTCTTGTTGTCCTTACAATTTTTATACGACAACGAAGAATAATCATGATTTCATCAACATTTACTACTAACTATCGTCATCATTAAAAACTGCATGAATTCATCTTATAGTTTAATAATTGACTTTTTGTTATAATTGCAAATGACTTATTTTAAGTTTTTTGTTTTTGACATGTTGTAGAACGAATATAATGATTCTCTCAAGGTCGTTCATTTATTTTGTTTTTTTTTCAAAAAAACAAAAAAAACCTTTAAGTATTCATTATAATAACTTTGATCATGATTGTCTCTTTTTATCGTTTATTATATTGATAATAAAAAAAAAAACTAACGACAATTTCTATCTATTGATTCGGGTCTTTTTTTTGTTTTGTTTTATACACTTAAATATAGATCATACAACATAGAAAACTTAGAGAGAACAATGAAAAAAGCATTGACACTAATCTGTATGTCGACATACATATACATAGAAGCTTGTCAAAATCATTCTTTTTTTTTGGTGAATGAGAGAAAGGAAATTAGATTTTTCTATCAGTTCTGTTGTTATATTTCTATACATAAATACACATAACGACAAATTGTGATTATTAGTCAACAAAACAAGCTCCATTACATTACAAAACAAAACTTTTACGCCGAGTATGTAATCGGCTTATCATTAAAATCCATCATCGCTCCTATTCGCTCGACTTCCGTCTATTTCATTAGATTTTCTTCGTTATTTTATGTTTGTACTTAACAAGGAAAAGAAAAAAAAAGAAGAGAAGAACATCTTTTTTTTTCTTATTTTCTCTTTTTTTGTTTTCTGATGAGTATCAAATAACATCCGATAATAATAAGAGCAGTAGGAAAACAAAAATCATCAGAATGTAAGTTAGACTTGACAATTATTAATGAGATCATGCATTCGTTAATTCTGATACATAGAGATAAAGCATTTCTTAAATTCATCATTAATCTCTATGTTCTTATTTCTTTCTTTTTTTTTTCATATTTTTGATAATATAGAAAGGAAAAGAACAAATATTGGTTTTATCTACTAAAGGGCTTTTATGAACCAATGAACTGTCTAATTCTAATGTTATTCATGTTTCAATAGATATTAAATCAAACATTCTTTAAACATGAATAGTGATATTGATGAAACAAATAATAGGGAGCATTGTTCATCAGCAAATAACACAACATCACCATCATCTAATGCTCTACAAAATCAACAAAAAATCAATACACATTCATCATTTTGTAATGAGAATATGATTGTAACACAAAATCAAATGAATACAACAATTAATGATACAATTGAAGAAAATATTTTGACAGTTGCAAATCAAAATGAAGAAAATTCAATGAATAAATCATTTAAAAGAAAAGTTGTGTCATTTAGTGCAATGCCATGTGAAAAAAAAGTTGCCGATGGTAAAATTGAACATATGTATTTATTTATTTTTTAATTATTAAAATAATTTAGTTTATGATTGTCTTCGTTATATGCAAGAAGGAAGTGATTTTCTTAAAGTTCGTTCACATGTACGACAATTTCGTCGTTTATATAAATTAAATGATACTTTAACTGCAATAAGTTGGTATCCAACATCAAAAAAACCATCAAAAGCAATAAGTAAAATAGTTTCTTTTTTTTTTAAAATTAAATCATTTAAAAATATTTCAAAATTTTTCTTTTAAATATTCTATTTAGTTAAAATTGATTCAATAAAAGAAGTACGTTTAGGAAAAACAACTGAACGTCTTCGTGAACATGCACAACAATTTGAAAATGAATCTATGTTTTCTATTGTTTATACAGATGGAAATAATGATTATGTTTCATTAGATCTTGTTGCAAGTAGTGCTGATGAAGCAAATATTTGGGTAACAGGTTTATCATGTCTTATTTCAGGACACGGAAGTCCTTTGACATCAGCAGGTAGAAATCTATATAATAACTATATTGATGAAATTCAAAAAAACAATATTTTCAATATTACTTATTTCTTTTTTTTTTTTAATTTATAAATTAAGCTAAATTTCGAGAATATAATTTAATTAAGAATAATTTTAACAAATCATTCAAAATGTATGAATGATATTATTCAAGAAAAACATAATAAAAAAACTATCGTGATTAAATGAATCGTTTGTTTTGAGACACCAAAAGTATAGAGCATCTCTCTATATAAATAGTAACAAGTGAATCCTTTTTTTTCTTTTTTCTATGAATTAATGATATCCATATGTTATTACTATACAAGTACTAACACACTCAACCATGCGCTTATCTCACTTCATTTCTTCCTATCTAAATACAGAAAGTTGATAGAAATGAAAAATATCTATCTCATTTATTATAGGATATTCTTGCTAAATACAAGGTTTTTTGTTTTTGTTATTTCTTTGAAGTATATTCAATCTTGAATTTTGATCATTAATTATAATTCGAATTGAAATCTAATGAAAAAATTTATTTATTTAAAACTCTAAAGATATATAAATAGTGTCAAGTATTATGTCTTAGTTAAAAATAATAAAGAATTTCTTTTAATAATACTAATGAATTCTTGTATTCTGTTGAGAATTTTGTTTTTGAATTATAATTATAAATTCTCTTTGTAAACTACTAACACTAATAGCGCATCTTCAGAAAGAATATATTCAATTCTCATGAAAGACAAAAAAAAAAAGCCAAAATTAATATGAGCTATAATTTCCAAAGAAATTCAAACCGTTTACTATTGACTCGTTGAACGATAATTAAAGGAAACACTGATTTTATTCAACAGGAAAAGTTTCTACTATGACTTAATTAGATTGTTATCAGTTAATATACAATTATAATAATATCTTAGATATATGTTACTTCGATGTCAATTCTATTTGCATTATTTAATAAGTGTTTTCCATGCTGAGAAATTCTTTTATCTTGTTATTAGAATCTACAAATTCAATAGTATATGATCGAATTTCTTCGGAAATTGTAGAAATAATAATTTTGACATTTTTTTAATATAACTTCTTGTTTTCTTTCTAATGAAAGAATATCCTATAATTATGTGACAGACATTTTCTAGTTTTGTTGACTTCTTGTTTTCTCTTCAAGTAAGAAGAAACAGAGAAGAGAGGATTATTTCGTATGTTAGTACTTGTATATTAATAACATGTGGATATCATTAGTTCTAAGAAAGAAAAAAAAGCATTTACTTGTTTCTATTTATATAGACATATCGTGTAGTTTTACCATATCTTAGTTTCGGAAACTTAGAAAGTCTCTTTCTTTTCACAGTTAAATTATTAAAATGAATAGAAAACTATATGATAAATATTCTTTATAATGAAATAATATTTTTTTTCTAAAACAACTAATCAAAGGTCAAAATATAAGAAGATCATGTCATCTTATCTTTATCAAAATAATATATTACTTAATTATCATATAAATCATATGTTAGTCTAATCTACTCTTTTCATAATTAAATTTTCATATGCCATCTAATTTGTTTTCTCGAATTAGTTAGAAAAAAAATTCAAAATAATTTTATCTTTATATTTCGTATAATCAATATAATATACGTTATAAAAAAAAAATGTATTAATAGATCTTGAAGATCGTCAAAAAATGCGTGATAAATGGTTACATGATGCATTTGCTGTTGGATTATCATCAATAAGTGAATCTGAACAAGTGAATCATAAAGAATATCAAACACTTTGTGCAAAAAATTCTATTGATGAAGAAGAAGCTGTAAAATTACTTGGAGATTATGGAATTTCTGAAGATAAAGCTAAAATAAGATTACAAGTAAATTTAGTTTGTGTATTTTTTTGTTTTTCGTTATTCTTATGATTTAATATATATTTATTCTTAAAAGGCAATTCAAACAAAAAAATCTGATGATGTACGTGGACTTTTTTCTACTGAAGATCTTGTTGATGTTTTTAAAAAACTTTCAACTCGACCAGAAATTTATCATCTTTTAGTCAGGTTATTTTATTTTAACATATATATACATATGAAATAGTTTTACCAAAAAAAAAAATTTTTCTTTTAGATATTCTCGAAATCAAGATTTTCTTTCAATAGAAGATTTTACATTATTTCTTGAAGCTGAACAAGGCGTAATTTTTTCATTTTATGAAATAATTTTTATTCTTTTTTTTTTGTTTTTGTTTCTAGATGTCAAAAGTAACAAATGAAAAATGTCTAGAAATTATACAAAAATTTGAACCATCAACTGAAGCAAAACTTTTAGGACGTTTAGGTATAGATGGTAAGTTATAAAATATTTAAAAAAAATTATTTATATTTAATTATTATATATTTAGGTTTTACTAATTATCTTCTATCATCAGAATGTGATATATTTAATCCAAATAATAGATCAATATGTCATGAAATGGATCATCCACTTAGTCATTATTTTATAGCTTCATCTCATAATACGTAAATAAAAATTTTTTTATTCATGTTTCATGTCAATTTCTATCGTTTAATATAATGAGCAATGTTAGTTATTGTTCGTTAAAATTGCGTATATCATTTACTTTCCGTTGATTATCTGAATGAAGAGAAATGAACAAAGAAGTATTGAGGGTGACTGTGTACGATGAAATGAGTGTGAGAGTAAAGAGTAGAGCCTGCCGGTCCTGGATCCAACAGGTTCTAGTATAGGAAGAAGGCTCTCCCTACTCTCGTTATTTGTTCGCTCATTTCTTTTTGTCCAAATAATCAACGGAAAATTGCTATACAAAAAAAAAACCCGACTGATTGGAATGCATTTCCTACAATTATCGAACAGTAAATCTATTAAGATAGATTGCGTGATCAAAGAATTTATCGATCTAAAACGAAGTATAAATAAGTATTGAATGATCGACAATTAAATAGTTGATAATTCAATATCGAAGAAAATTTCTGCTATATATAGATTTTCAAGAAAATTCTTTATTGTTAAATATTTGTTTTCGTTTAATTTTTCAATAGATTTTGTATTTTTTCATGAATTGTAGTTTCTATTTGTTAAAATTTGTACATATAGAATCAGTCTTATTGCATGTAACAAATATTCTTTCTCATACTACTTCGTCATCTATATTGACAAACAGATGTATTCAATGGAAAGCTTTGAAAAAAAAGTAAAGTTTCAAGAACAGAAGAAATATAATCGATAATATTCTTCTCTCCATCGCATTAATATCTTCAGCTCAAAAGTTTGAAAAGTAGGCATATTTCGATGTAAATATTTAAGGTGTCATTTTTGTGCCCTGTTCTTACGAATTCGGAACAGGTTCACATAAAAAGATAGATAAAGAGGTCTAAACATCTCGGCATATATTAAAAAATGCTAAAAAGCATAGTTCAAAATATATTCTTATTCCTTGAGAATGGAATATCCAGCAACGAGAATTTTGAAGTTTCAAATAAACATACTAAATAATAATGACAGACGCGAATTATATTTTTTTCATCTGCCCATCTAAGGTAAATTCAATCTTTTGTGAATATCTTTCGGTCGAAGTCCAACATATAACGTAGCAATAAAGAGATCTATTCGCATTGTTGCAGAGATCGAAATGATAAGCAAAGAAACTCAGATGTGGATGTTAATCTTTGTTAGACATGCATCCAAATCTAATAACAGAATTGCAATATTTCGAATCTATCTTATTACTTATGAACTATATCAATAATCTGTATAGAAGAATGTCTGCCATTGACAACCAAACAGAGAACTATTCAATGAACCGTTTGGTTTAATAAGAGATTGAAAGGAAACTTGAAAACAACCCAAACTCTTTAGATTTAGGTTTTTTGATTGACTCTAGCACATAGTCTAACAAGTCACATAGTTTAGTAGTTAAGGGCATTTTTCTTTATTTAGGTAAAAACGACTTAAACGGTTTAAGTGTATGCCTCGTCTTCTCTTCATTCCCATCCATACTCCTCACCTTCATTTTTCTGTGCGCGCTTAACTATTCAATGCTGAAGTTTTCTCGTGTTTATCAAAATTACATCTATCATTTTATGAATAATTCTATTGAAAATCAAATTGTGTTCTTTTTTTCTGTGCTCTTAGATTTCTATTGACTGATCAACTAAAAGGTCCATCAAGTGTTGATGGTGTCATTCATGCTTTAAGACGTGGTTGTCGTTGTTTGGAAGTACATTGTTTTGATGGACCCGATGGTCAACCATTAATACATAATGGAACATTAACATCTCGTATACCTTTAAGTGAAGTACTTCAAGTTATTGAAAATTATGGATTTGAAAAAACAAAGTAAAAATTTTTTCAATTAACTTATTAATTATTTCAAATAATATTGTTTTGTGTTGTGTGTGTGTGTTTTTTTTTGGTGTAGTTATCCATTAATCTTATGTATGGAAATACAATGTAGTATTAATCAACAAGAACGTGTTGCTCAGTTATTAATTGAAATATTTGGTGAAAAAATTTTTTTTGATCATCTTTCATTATCAGTTAATATGGATATAAATTCAAATAAATATCGACCTCTTCCATCACCAAATGATTTATGTGGAAAGATTATTATTAAAGTAAAATAATACAAAAAACAAAAAGAAAATAATTAATAAAAAATATAAATAAAATTTTTAGAGTAAAAAATTACCTCCTGATTTTACTAATGAAATTAATAGAGACTATGGTGAAATAATAGATGATGAAGATTGTTATGAAGATAATAAAAGACGATCTAAAAAGGTTCATTTTTATATTAAATTGATTAGTTTATTTTCTTCTTTTTTTGTTTTTATTCAATAGGAATTAAGTAATAAAAAACATCGAAAATTATCTCGTGCTTTTTCTGATCTTGTTTGTATACTTCGTTCAGCACCATTTGAAGATTTTAATACTGCATTTAATGAACGTAAGAAATAATTTTCATTGTTCTTTTTTTTTTAATAAGACTTACTTTATTAATTATTAATAATAGAACAATCTGATCAAGTATGTACATTCAGTGAAAATGCTGCTCTTCGTTTAGCAACAAGTGATGCAGAAGAATTTATTAATTATAATAAACTTTTTATATCACGTGTCACTCCTGGAACATGGCGCGTTGATTCATCAAATCTTAATCCACAAGATTTTTGGAATGTTGGTTGTCAAATGGGTTAGTTATAGATGAAGTTTTCATATAAGTTCAACTAGTCTGAGTTTTCTTAAAGTGAATTTTACATAATAGATAGATAAATCAAGACGAAAAACGATTTCTATTATATTCAAACATTCACGGCATCTACAATAAAATCAAAGTCTATTAAGATCTTTGAGAGACTGACAAAACTAATTAACAATTTAGAGAAGATCTCCATTAGAGTCTGTCGGATTGAGTTATAATCATCGAATACAAGAAAACTGGAAAATATCTTATACCTTCAGGATGACTATTCAGTTCCGAGTAGAAGATTTTGCTTTGAGAGTATCACAGTAGAGTCCGACGGACTGCATCCTAAATAGCCAAATACAAATAATCGAAAAAATAAACATATCATATCTTCGGAGCGACGACTATCAGATTTCATTTTGATTTCTTCATCTATAAATAATATTACAGACTTTATCTTACATTGCTATCGAAAGGGAACAAGTCTTCCATTATGTGTAAATCTGTATCAAAATATGGTCCGATCAGGTCCGAAAGTTTTGGATTCGACGGACTAAAGAACTGCGGGTTCGTGTTTTTGTGGACCCGGACCCGAAAAAAGTTTAAAATTTGGATCCGAACCCGACAAAAAAAATAAACCTTTAGACTCGGTCGGGTCCGGATCTAGAAGGACCCGCAGCTCCCTAAGATGGACTCTAGTGACCAACGATGGATCACTCATAGATGTTTATTACCAGTTTTAAGTTCTCTATACGATATAGAATGCTGTGAATTTCTTCCTTTTTTTTTTTTGTAATCTTATTTTTCGTTTCTATATCCATAGTGTTATTCGTAAATTTTATAAGAATATGTTTAAAATTTCTTTTCGTATAATAAACTTAAATGATATTTAAACATTGTATCACTTAGTGTCAATGAATTATCAAACAGCTGGAAAATTTATGGATGTATATTTCGGTCGTTTTTTATCAAATGGTGGTTGTGGATATGTGCTTAAACCGAGTTATTTAAGACCTGATAATACAACCATAACTGCAGCATCATCATCAATGGCGGCTGGTAGATTATCTACTAATGTTTATTCATCTAATACACCTCAAATACTTCATATAAAAGTAATTAAAATTTCTTTTGAAATTTTATTATTTATTGTTATTTTTTCTTTTGAAAAAAGATAATAAGTGCACTTCATCTTCCACGACCTGAACAAGCTGAATTAAAAGCAAATTCTATTGATCCATACGTTGTTATACAAATATTTGGTGTACCAAGAGATACAGATGAAGTACGAACAAAAACTATTTATCATAATTGTAAGTTCATAAGTTATTATTATTATTATTATTATTATTATTATTTTTCATTCATATTAAATATAATTATTTAGCGGAAAATCCACAATTTAATGAAGCATTTGAATTTGAAATAGCTTTTCCAGAATTAGCACTTGTCAGATTTGTTGTACTTGATGATGATTCACTTGATTATGATTTTATTGGACAATATACATTACCGTTTGAATGTATTCAAACAGGTTAATAAAATCATAAATTCATGTTTTTTTTTTGTACCTTCTTAACTCTTCTTTTTTTATTAGGCTATCGACATGTTCATCTTCATACTATCGGTGGAGATCTCATATCTAATGCCTATCTATTTGTTCACATTGTTATTAATAGCAAATCATTGGCTATTGTATGTTTTTCTATAATCTATATTTTTAAATTTTTTGATCTATATATATATATAATATTTTCATTTGTTAAACAGAAACCTCGTCGATCACTATCACGTTATCATCGTTCATTAACGCGTCGTAAATTACGTATTGCTTCATTTCGATCAGTATATAATAAACAAATTGATGATCTATTTAAAGTAAAGAGAAAAAACTTTTGCTTTTTTTGTTTTGTTTTAATTAATATTAAATATATAGTCGGTTATTCAACCATTAGAAACAGCATTTGAATATCGTCATGCTGTTGAACATAGTCTCCATGGATTAAATGAAATGTGTGGTCTACCTGATATATCAAATGTAAAACAATGTGTTAGAAAAATTGCTAGTCGATTACAAAAAGCAAATCTTATTGGTGCTGTTACTATACGAAAGCAATCTGATGTAAGTTTTAATTTTTCTAAATTCGAAATATTTTACAAACTTGGCTTTTTTTTAAAGATACCAATCTTTGAATATTCTGCTACATTACCAGAATTATCTCGTCAAAGTGTTGTAGCTTTAGAAGAAGTAAATTAAAATCTCAATGATTATTCGTTGCTTTTTTTTAAGAAAAAAAAAATTTGTTTTTAGGTGATTAATCAATGTCGAGCTTTAATAGATAATGGTACTGTTATACATGAGAAGGTAAAATAGATATAGATGAGTGAATTGAAATTTTTTGATATGATATTTCACATGTTATTTCATTCTAACTGTTCTACACCTGCATCAAATTCTAGCTGATTTATTCTTTTTTTAGTTAGTTAATGTGCAAACTGAAATATCTGAATTAAGTAAAGACATTCCAAGATTACTTGAAATAAGTGGTTTACGTGGAAAAAAATTTACAAAAGCTATTGATAATTTTTCATATAATCTTGCTCTATTACATGGTCAAACTGATTTATTAAATAAAGCTAGACAAGATGCAAATATAACAATTCAACAGGTAAAAAAAAATCAATTATTTTGAAAAAAATATTTAATCCTTTTCTTTTTTTTTTTGTTATAAAGATTTTTGAAGCTGCTGAAACAACTCAATTACTTGTACAATCTAATCAATAATGAAAAAAAAACATACAAATATCATATTTCAATGTTTATTTTTTTTTGAAATTAAGAAAATGTTATATTTCTCCGGTTTATATGTATTTTTTTTAATCTGTAGATTACACGTGTGTATACACATATTTGTTTTTTAATAATCTAAATAAAATTATTCTTCAATTTAATGACTGAATAAATAGATTAAATCTTTCAATCTTATTGTCTTTCTCCATATCTCTAACTATGTTCTGTTCATACAAGAATCAAAGTGATGGTCTGTAAAAATATTCATCTATTGCTCTTTTTATATGTATTCCATTTGTAATTGACGAACCGTAGTGGATTTAGTGCCCAAACGAATCATCATTGTTGAATTGATTGACACACCCTAACAAAATATCTACTTTCATATGCTCGACCGTGAATCAACTACTATGATAATCGTTTTATTCTATCATTCCAAAAACTTGGTCAATTGAAGGGAGGGACAAAAAATATATATATATATATGACATCAATAAATACTTTGATAGATACTTCTCTAACGAATCTATTAGCTAATTCCGTGTCGAAAAGCTTACGTAAGATAAGAAAGAGATATGAGAGAGCAAGGCTTCTGAATTAGTTCGAAAAGTTTATCTAAAAATGATAGTATACAATGACATTTGATTCAATGACGACGAGTGTCATAAATAATAAGTGACATAAAAGCATAGACCAATTGAAATAGTTTAGAATCTTGATAGAATTTGTTCATGCATGTGCTAGATCCTTCATACGAAAATAAAATGTGTCGTGTTCTGACTGCTGACTATTCATTCACCATTCTGTTTTGCACACACACACACGCACAGCTACATATAGACAACTCGATTGAACATGTGACACTTGTGTATTTTTTTCTCGATTAGTTATTAGTCGAGAACATATCGATCTCGTCTCAAGATCTGACCGACTTGAATTTTCAGAATGGGCATAGTTAAATTGAAAAAAATTCGATCAATTGCTTCTGTCGAAAAGAAAAATTCGCTGTATACTAGATTTGAATCATATTTTCAGAATGTGTTGGGCCGTTGCTGAACAAAATGTGTCACAAAGTACGATATATTATATTTTAATGTGTTCTCTACTAGAGAATAGTTGAATACAAGCTTTCTTCATACATTATTGACATGTTTTGTTGATAATGATTGTATTTATTATGTAACAAGCAATTAATTCTTGTTCATGTTGTTTAATATTTTTAAATCATTTTACTAGACTCTTCTTGAGTATGAATGAAAATATGATATTTACATCCGTGTCCGACACTTAGAGCCAAACGTTTTGATGTGTCTACACTAATCGACATAGTTTGACCTATTGTGGCTAGATTCTTGCTTTTCTTGATCTGTCAGACACAATTCTTTTTAATGCTGAAAGCCAGACAAGATCCTTGTAATAGGAAAGGAAGAAAAAAAAAGATTCTTGTCTAACCTTCAAGATAGGCGTCGTATGATGTCTTTGTATCTATGTATCTATATATATATATATATATATATACATAAATCAACATCTGTAGACTATTTTTACACAACGATTGTTTATTGTAAATATATTCATATAAATGAACAAAAAAATATTGTTTTTGTGCACATAACATATGAAATATCTGTTAATATCATAGTATCAATGAAAATATGTAATAGTAATTTGTTAGTTAAATTATAATTAAGTTTAGAGGTTAAAAAACAGCGAATTAGAGATAAGTCAATCATTATCAGCTGGAGCTGATAAATATAAAGAAGACAAGTTATAACAGTATGTATGTATGTTTATCATCTATTATTTTTTCTAATAAATATGTCAGATTCAAGAACAAAAAAAGAAGAATTTTGTCTAAGAAAAGATCTTACCTTGTCAATAAAGTTTTAATCTATATAAATCTTCGTGTAATTTTTTTGTTTAATATTTAAATCATATAGAATTAATATTCATCAGATTCAATAGAAGATCTTAAAGATAGTCTAACGATGTATATTTTTTTTTGTGTCCTACTTTTTCATATCATTTATAACTAACTTACATCCTGAGTGATATGTCACATTAGAGAAAAAGTTTGATAAGTAATGTGTACATAATTAAAACAAGAAAAATAAAATGTATCGCTTGTCTTTTTGTATTAAGTGACTATTACATAGTATAACAAGACAAATATTAGTGTTGACTAATGGATTGATATTATTACTTTTTCTTTTATATTGCCTTTTAGATACTAGTTTCAATGCAACATTATGGCATATGGATATCTTGAGAATAAATGTCAATCAATAAAATGAAAGAAATATATACATAGAATTTTAAAAAATAACATCTAATTTTTATCTGTATAAAAATAAAAAAATAATTTAATAATATTATTCGTTATTTTCTTTTTCAATATTATTCATACAATTTATATTAATTTTACATTCGTTTTATCATGTAAACTGTGAAAATATTTCAATTAATACATCAACTAACCTAAGAAAAATATTCACGTCTATTTACTTATCTAATTCTAGCATGAATATCCTTGATGAAGTGTTGACAATAAATATATCAACATCATTATACTTCAACGTTTATCGAACCATCACATTCCCTAAGATGTACAATGTTGGTTCAGCAGTTATATTTCAAGATATAAATACCATCTGTTATTTAAGAACGCAATGATATTGAATTATATGAAGGTGACAGCTACATCGTTTGACACTTAGATCTGTACTACTGAAGGAAATAATTTTTTTTGTAATAACGCTATATGAATAAATGATTTTGACATAATGTATAATCAATAGTAATGTGGTAAAAAGTATTGAGAAAAGAGAAAAACATGCATTATTCAGTTCTTTTTTTTTGCTATGGTATATGAAGCAATAAGAGAAGAAGAAAAGAAAAACAGAAGAATATAAGAGACACCCAATAGTTTTCTATAATGATAACGTCTTCTTTTATATACGTAAGATCTAATACTGTGGTATTGTCTTTTCTATTCTTTATTCCCTTGCTAAAGCTCTCCTTGAGATGTGATGATGGATAAATGAGTTATTAGTTTAGAAGACAAATAGTTAGCTTGTCTATATCATTCTCGATTACTTAAAAGAAAGAGAAACTAGAACAAAAAAATTAATCAAAAAAATCATTGTTTGATAATTTTATTTTGTTTTCTTTTTTCGATATTAGTATGTCTTCAGAGCATCAGCCGCGTCTTACGGAATCACTACAAGCATCTTATTTGATACGTGAAGGTCATCCAGTTAAACTTTCATGTCGATTCGATGCATCTCCTACAGTTGATATTCAATGGCTTAAAGATGGAGTTCCGATTGATTTTGAAGCACTTGGTATTTCAAGAGATTTTAAGGTTTCTCTTTTTTTGTGTTATTTAAAAAAATGAACAAAATAATTTATTTGTTTTTGTTTCTTTTACCAAAAAATAAAAATGTAGGTCGTAAACGAAGTCGACTATACAGCATTATTAATTAAAGAAGCATTTCCAGAAGATATTGGTTCATATACAGTTATAATACGTAATTCACTAGGTGAAGCACGTTCATTTACACACTTATATGTCGAAGAATTTTTCTGTCGAACACCGTAAGTTTCTTAATATTAAAAAAGAATTTAATAAAAAAGTTTTTTTTTTTTGTTTTGAATTTTAAGGGAATCAGAAATGTCTGATACACCATGTAAACCAGTTTTTGTTCAACCACTGCTGGATACAACAATAAATGAAGGAGAAAAATTAAAATTACATGCTGCAATAAATGCAAATCCTGAACCTGAAGTAAAAATAAATAATCTTTTATATTTCTTGCAAAAAAAAAACAAAAAACAAAATCTTATATTTATTTTAAGATTATTTGGTATTGTAATAATAGTCCATTAAAAAATTCTCGTGATTTAACATTATCATTTGATGGACAATTATGTAAATTAATAAAAGATCGATGTGAAAAAGAAAATGATTCAGGAACATATCGTATAACAGCTGTTAATTCAATGGGACAAGCTGAATCTATTTGTCAAGTTATTGTACAATCAAATGAAACAAAAATATTTCGTGAACGTCTACAATCAACTCGTTCATTACCGGTTTTTATTCAATCATTACAAGATACGACATTTCATGAAGGTGAAAAACTTCTTTTTCAAATACATATTAATGGATACCCAAAACCACAAGTCATGTGGTTTAAAGATAATCAACCATTAAGAAATACATCTAATCGTAGAGTATGTTTTAATATAAAAAATAGATCTATGAACAAAAAAAAAGAAATCATTCTCTTTTTTTTCTACTATAGATTCGAACTGAAGATGATACTTGCATACTTGAAATACCGAGATTATTAATCAATGATGCTGGCATTTATGAAGTTAAAGCAATTAATTCCGAAGGCGAAGCTAAATGTTCAGCAACAGTAAATATTTTACCAATAAATATCGTTCCTGAACCTATGATTATTGAATCAGTTGGTTCTGCACCTGAATTTCTTCAATTATTCAAAGATCAAACAACATCTATTGGTTCAATAATTAAATATGAAGCTCGAGTTACTGGTACACAACCACTAAATGTAAATTATCTATTATAATAAAATAAAATATATAATCATGTTCTTTTGTAAGGTCTATTGGTTATTTAATGGATCACCATTAACTCTTCTAAGAAATAGTCGACGGTATCAACTAAATGTATTTAATGATACTTATACATTAATTATACATAATGTACGTTATGAAGATATTGGTAAATATACTTTAAATGCAGAAAACTCTTGGGGAAAAGCAACATGTAGTGCTGAACTTTTTATTCTTCCAACTATTTTGCAATTTGGTAAGAAATTTATTATAGAAAAATTTATTTCTTATTTGTAACCAATACACTCAACTCTACCTATTGCACGCTAATGCTTGGCTTTTTGTTTTTGATAGACAGTATTCATTTATATTATGACAAAAAAAAAAGAGTACATCATCATTTATTTTTATTTTTTTTTTGCTTTATATTATTTTGAATGCTTTGCTTCGCATCTGCTTTGTGAATGCTCTTTTACCATTGATGAAAATATGTACGAGACAGATAAGTACTTCATTGTACGTATTTATGGTCATGATCTTCTTTCGTTAGCTTATTAACAAAAGAATAGACGTATAATAGAGAGCCCTTGAGATCAATAAAAAGCAACATATCTTTTCCTTTTTTTTCTGTCTTTATATTGTCAACAAATGTTGTTTGTCCGCCTACAGACTCGTACGTATACGATTGTCGACCGCCATTTTTCTTTCTCCCCTCCTCTTTTTCTTTTTGCATTAATAGCAAGTAAGAAAGAAGAAAAGATAACAGAACATTTTTCCTCTATATCCGTCTTGATCCTATTGTCGCCGTCGTCATCTGTGCCAAGATTTATACTTGTTTGTATAACGATCTAGAAAAGAAAACGAACGGCTGATGGAAGAAAATAAGACGATAAAACAGAGAAGACGTTGCTCGATGTCTATCCTTTCCATCTTTTAGCCATTTATTCTTTGTACATAAGCATGATAAAAAATGGTTAGGAATGTATATATGAAGTACACATCGTCTCATGGAGAATGATTGATTCTGGAAAATAACATAACATATTTGGGACAGAAGAAAGCAAAGAAAAAAAGGATAGAAAAGGAAATATATTCTCATTGGAACGAGGGAAAAAAGGAAAAAAAAAGAGGCGAAGGAATATATCCGAGCTGTACAGCATCGTATCAGTCGATTTCGGTTCTTTGTCTCTGTGAGAAGTGGTCATCATTTTTCTTTCATGTCGTTATAATACAAATTATGCATCTAGGATCTCCTACATCGACATCACGTGTTCAAAGGAGAACAGTTACAAATCGAAGGACAAGTAGTGGTCATGGCAATACCAATAGAGGTAGGAATTTTTTTTCAATAAAAGACACATCAAAAAGTGTCATTGATTTTATCTATTCGTCGCCGTCTTTCTATCTTATTTTTTGTATGTCGTTGCGCTGGGCGTACTCAGATAGGACTAAACCTGTTGTTTTTTTTCTAAATATATATGCATTTGTCTTAGTTTGTTGCTTGATGCTCGCTTTCAGCACTACTGATGATGTACTCTCTTGTCTATGGTCTATAAATGACACAACAAAGAAAAATTTTTCATTCGACAAATATTATTGAATACTGTCTTATCGCAATGTCATACATATATGTATATATCCCAGCTCTAGATTAGTAAATAACAATAAAGTAAATGTCTGTATATATCTTCATCAAAAGGCACTGACAATAATAAGAACAAGTTGCCCAATTTAATGGTCAAAATGTCATCGTCTCCATCTGTATCAAATAAAAGACAAAATGAAATTGAACAACAACAAAATTCATCATTTATGTCTTCATATAATAATACTACTACTAATAATAAACGATATCGTCCTTTAGAAAGTCAATCATTAACACATACAAATGATTTTCATCATGTTCAACAATTTCCTAAGAAATTAGAAATTTTTAAACCTTCGAATATAATTAATCAAGAAAATGAAAAAAAAAGTTCTATCATACAAAATTATGATTATAAAATTGAAAAACAACAACGTTCATTCTCAGAAAATAGAAAACAACAATATAAAAATGATGTCAATATTGAATTTAAAAAATCTTTTGATAATCGACAAAACAAAACTACATATGAAACAACAGAAAAATATAAAAATATTAAAGAAACTTATCATCATCAACCAAGATCAATAAATAGATTTCAAAATAAGATTTCTAATCAAACAGAAACAAATGATAATTATCACCGTTCATTATCAGAAACTTTACTTCATACACATTTAAAACCAATTATAAAAACAGATGTAACATTAAGTGATGAGAATTTAAAAACAATGGAATATTGTCTTCAACATAAACAACGTTTAATAAAACCTATTCATATTCGTTCATCAAGAACTCCTATTCCAGGTGAAAGAAGTATTAAATATGTTCGTACTGACCGTTCACCTGTTGAAGTTATTTTACCAAAACCTCAAATCAAAAATATACATGAAGAACATGTATCAACAGTAGTTAAAGATGTTCGACATACAAATCGTGGAACAATGACAACTATTCATCAAAAACCACAACGACCATCAATGGAAGGTGAACATGAATTACGTATTTTTCAAAAACCAATTACATCTGGACAAAAATATCCTGTAGAATTTACAATTATAAAACCAAGTCCAACATTACCTATTAGACAATCGTCAACAAATGTTATGAAATCAAAATCAAGTGATCGTTGTCATACATTTGATATTAATAAAACATTAACACGTGAACATAGACTTTCTGGTGAATATGAATATAGTAGAATATCCGAACCATTGAAAATAAATTTACATAATAAACCAGTTGATTTATTATTTCCTCAATCAACACATCATTCATCAACCATAATTAAACAAAATCGTATACCACAATCAAGTCTTCTAGTTGATAATATACAAACAAAATTAAAAGGCGAACATGAACTTCGTTTTATTGATAAACCAATTCAATCGAATCCAATTAATAGTGTAGAATTAATTGTACCAAAATCTGTAGCAAAAATACCTGAACATACAACAACAATTGTTACTGAACAACACCCACATCGACGTGTTTTAGAAATAACTGGTAGTGGAAAAAAACAAAAAAGTGAACATGAAACAAAATATTTTCATGATACTGTCCGTATTGAAGAAGAAATTGAAGTTAAAATACCAAAAACAAAACTTGAACAAGTTGAACATTCAGCAACAATTATTAAACATAATCGTGGTAAAGCACCTATTATTGAAATTGATACAACACAAAAAAAAATTGAAGGTGAACATTTAATAAAAATTTTAAATGAACCAATTGAAACAACATCTGATACAATGCAATTATTAATTGAAAAACCTAAATTATCAGGTGAACATGCTACAACAATAATTAAAGAACAACATGGAAAATCTCAAATATTTACAGTTGATCAAATACAACCAATTTCTGGTAAAATTTATTTTTATAAATCAATTTTTTCTTTCGTAACATGTTGTCTTATTAATTAGGTGAGCATAAAACAAAATATTATCATCAACCTATTGAATCGTATGAGGAAATGGAAATTTCATTGTCTCAACAACAACCTATTCATGGAAAACCATTTGTTTATAATGATCATCGTCATGAAATATCTGATAAACATTCTTTAACTCTTATTGATAATTCAAAATATAAAACTGTTAAAGATATTGAATTCATATCACCAGAACAATTAAAAAAACGGTTCATTGATCAGTATAGATCTACTAATGACTATAATGAAAGTTTTGTTTCATCAACCATGAATGAAGCAGAAACAATTAGTGAACATAAAACAACATATCTTAAACAAACACGTCCTAAATATGGACCTGTTGAATTAGTTGTTGATCGACCAACAATATTACCAAGTATATCAAAATTAGTAGCCGATATTCCAGCATTATCACAAATAACATCAATAAAATCAACAGATATTCTTTTATTTGAAGATAATACAATAGAATTAAATGATAATCAAAAATCTTATGAAATGGAAATTATTTCAGATCAAACATCTATACATGATAATTCAAAAATATTAATAACTAATATTCAATCATTAAAACCTACACCTTACATACAACAACCAATTGAAGATTCTAGTACAAGTTTAACAATGGAATTAAATAGAAATCAACAAATACAACCATTTGAATTAATTATACCACGTATTGATATGGAATCATCAACAAGTACAATTCTAGCTGATGTATCACCAATAATTGCTGGTTTACAAACTAAAATAGATATACCATCAAATGTTGAAAAATTAACATCAAGTTATTTATTTGAACAAACACAACCTTTAAATGATGAAATTGAATTAATTATGCCAAAACCAAAACATATGGAAACAAGTACATCAACAATATTAGCTGATGTACAAGCTCAATTTGAAACAAAAGAAATACGTCCAAATGAAATTCAATCTGAAATATCAACAACAACATATTATTTTGATCAAACAATTGATACTATTATACCAGAACCTGTTGAATTACGTATGAAACAACCAATTATAGATGATAGTTCAGCAGTAATTATTGCTAAAATTGCATCAACATTAGATACAAAATCAATTCAATTACCTACAAATTTAAATCAATTATTAGAAGATATGTTATTTGCAAAAAATTTTCAACAAAATCAATCATCTAATATTGAATCTATTCTTTCTCATCCACAAACCCAAGAGAGTACATCTATCACATTAGCTGATATTCAACCATCACAAAAACATATTATTATTGCCCCATCCCTTGAAAATCCTTTAGAATCGAGTAGTCAATTTATTTTAGAAGAAAATAATAAAGAAACAGAAGCAAGAGAAGAACTAATCTCCCATCAACAACTGAGTTCACAGACGCCTTTGGCTACCTTAGATGAAACATTTATAAATAACGAAGTTATGTATGCTTTAGGTTTGGATAATCAACAACAATATGGTCAACCAACACTTCATGCTAATTTAAATAAACCAGTTGAATTCATTTTAAATGTTGAAGATGGTAATGCATCAGGTATATCTCAACAATATGGTCAACCAACACTTCATGCTAATTTAAATAAACCAGTTGAATTCATTTTAAATGTTGACGATGGTAATACATCAGGTATATCTCAACAATATCGACAAGATTATACTACAAGGATGTTATCAAATACTATGGATGGAATTAGTAATGGTTCAACAGTAACTACAGGTAAATTATTTTGTTTTTGTACATATAATGACTGAACATAAAAAATATACTTAGAGCATACCAAAAGT